AGTGTGGCTATCCTAATTAAACACAAAATAGAGTTTCAGATAAAGATTTTATTAAGAACAAAGACTTTTAAATAATAAGATGGAAAAATCTCCCAAGAAGATATATGAACATATCAGTATTCCACTTTCAGTAGTACATAGTAAAGCTAGAAAGATCAGAAAAGAAACAGAAAACTTGAATCAACTAGACTCAACACTCTTCTATGCAACAACAGAAAACCACAGTCTTCTTCAGGATGTATTGAAAATTCTTCAGGGCAGATCATGGAGTAAGCCATAGAATAAGCCTCAATAAAGAAACAAAAATGAAAAGAAATGAAAAAAGAACAGAAAATTAGAAAAATTCACAAACACTTGGAAATAAAACAATTAGTTTAAATAATCAGGTAAAAAAGAAACCACAAAGTATACAATCATTTTGTATGAATGAAAATAAAAACACAGCATGTCAAAATTATGGCATGTTTCTCAAGTACTTAGAAAAAAATTATAGATAAAAATGACTCTTTGAGAACAAAGATCTGAAATCAGTGATTTTATTAACTTTTCACCTTAAGACACTGAAGAAAAAAACTACAAGTTAACCAAAATCAAGAAGGATATAATAAAAGTTAGAGTGGATAAAAATCAATTAATGAATAGAAAACCAATAGAGCAAAATGAATTAAAGAATAAAACTTGTTCCTTTGAAAAGATCAACAAAATTAACAAACAATTTTTAAATAGTAGCTGTTCAAAGACAGGGGTCATTCACACCACTAAAATCAGAGATGGAAGAGGGAATATTTTTGCTAGTCTGATAAAAATAAAAAGTAACATAATACTTATACTTACCAAATTTTGTGAACACATCTGATAACAGAATAAATGAACAAATTTCTAGAAGACAAAAACTACCCAAACTATTTAAAAAAGAATTAGAAAATCTAAATAACTTATAACAAGCAAAGGTATTGAATTAATAATAAAAATGTAAAGTTGGGCTTACACAGCTTCACAGGTAAAATTCCAATCAATTTTTTTCAGCTTTAATTGAGTTTAATTGGTACATTTTAGGGATACAGTCCAATCAATGTTTAAAGAACATTTAACACTGAGCCCTCACAATTTCTTGCAAAAGAGAAAAAGGAAGGTACAATTCCCATCTCAGCCTACAGAGCCCATTTGACTCTGAGTGCAAAAGCAGACAATGATGCCACCAGAAGAGAAAGTGTAAACAAACATTTCTATTGAATAAAGACACAAAATTCCTCAGCAATATGCTATCAAACTCAATCCAGCAAGGCATGAAAGTGATTTTACAGCACAACCACCTGGAATTAATCTCAGGAGCGCAATATTGGTTTCACATCTGAAAATCAATTAATATAATACATTGTATCGATAAAGTAAAAGACAAGAAAAACCCCACCATTATCTTAATAAGCAAAAAAAGGGCCAAAACAAGAGAGAGAGAGAGAGAGAGAGAGAGAGAGAGACAATGAGAGCACATTTAAACAGTTTAGAAATAGAAAATTTCCTGAACCAGACAAAAGGCATGTATGAGAAACCCACAACATTATAGCTGCAGGTGGATGGTGGCTTCTATCTAATATCAGGAATAAAACACGGATATAAACTCTCACCACTCCTATTCAACACTGATCTGAAGGTTCTGCTAGAAAAACTAGACAATAAATTAAGTGGAAGGCAATTAAAAAATAATTAGAACTAATAAATATCTTTGCAAATTTGCAGAATATAAAATCAACATACAGGCTGAGGTAGGAGGATTGCAAGTTTGAGTTCAGCCTTGACAAGTAACTGAAGTGGCAAGACTCTGTCTCAAAAAAGCAAAACAAAACAAAACAAAACAACAAAATAAAATAAAAAGGCTGGAGATGTAGTTCAGTGGAAAGGCTCTGGGTTCAATCCCCAGTTAAACACACACACACACACACACACACACACACACACACACGCACATCAATAAATCAATGCATGTCTATAAACTAACGTGAACCATTTGAAAATAAAGTTAAGAAAGCAATAGCATTCATAATAACATAAAGAATAAAATTCTTACTGATCAGTGTAACAGAGGTAGTATAAAACCTATAATCTAAACAATACAAAACACTGTTGAATGAAATTAAAGACCTGAACAGATGTGAAGACATCATATGTTTATAGACTGGACAACTTAATATAGGTGAGATATCAATATTTTCAAAATTAGCCTATAGTGTCAACACAGTTATAAAAATCCCAGCTGACTTCCTTACATAAATTGATATAACAATCATAAAGTTTAAATGGAAATGCACAAATCCAGAAGAATCAAAGCAATCTCACAAAAATGTAGTCAGAGAACTCATAGTTCCCAATGTGAAAGCACACTTCAAAGTATAATATTCAAGACAAAATGGTACTGGCAAGGCTAAACATACTGATTAAAATAGTAGACTATAGACTCCAGATATAAACCCACACATTTATAATATTATTTTTTAGACCAAGTGCCACAAACAGTTCAATGGGGTAAGAATAGTCATCTGAACAAATGGTTCTGGGACAATTGGGTGTCTATGTTGAAAAGAGGAAAGTTGGATCCCTTCCTTAAAAAAAAATCACAAAAATCAACTTGAAATGGACCATAAATCTCACTGTAAGAGCCAAAAATACGCAATTATAGTTGTAGGATTATCAAAACTTACTTAGATAGTACACAAGTGACAAAAGGAAAGAAACACATCGTTGGATTTCATAAAATTTAAAAAGCATGAAAGAAAATAGAAAGGCACACCACAGGTGGGATGAAATATTTGGCACTCAGACACTTATGCATTTAGAGACAGCATGATCATCTGTGACACACTCAGTAGTAGAAAGACAGTGACATAGCTAAAACAGAATCTGAAGAGATTTCCCTCAAAGAAGACCAAGAAGACCCTCATGAAAAAATGCTCAATATCATTAGCAATTAGGGGAATTCATATATAAAAAAACAGCACTTTAAAACTATTAAGATGGCTATTATTGAAAAACAACACAAAAACACAGAAAGTTAAAAGCGATGGGACTGTGGCGTAATTGGCCTTTGTGCACCACTGGTAGGAGCGTAAAATGGTCTAAGGTTGTAGAAACCAATATAGTGGTGGTTCAGAAAATTAAAATGGAATTAATATTTGACTTAGCCATGCACTCCTCCTGAGCAGGTACACAGAAAAATTGGAATCAAGCACTTATCAGATATTTGCATACCACTGTTTAGCAATATTATACACAATATCCAAAGGTGGGAACAACCTTGATATCCAGTACCAGCTGAATGAATAAAATGTGGAGAACATCCATATAATAAAATATGATACAGTCCTAGAAAGAACGTGATTCATTGTGGCTGAATGAATGAGCCACCCACAAACGTCTGCATATGCTGAATTATTCCATCTTCATGAAATGAATAAAATAGTAAATCTATCGAGGCAAAAGCTAGACTAGAGGTCTCCAGAGACCTGGACAGGGCATAAAAATGGGAGAATGCTTGCTCATGGATTTGGAGGACTCTCTTTTTGGGGGAAAAATCTTCTAAAATGTATTGCTGTGATAGTTATACAACTCTTTCCATACACTAAAATCCACAGAATTGTACACTTCCCATGGATATGGTATTTGTATGATAGTATTCACATTTTATCTCAATAAATCTGCTATTAAAAGAGACAAAGCTCCATCCCTGAGAAAGAACCCAGTCTCCCAGCCCTGCATGCACAGGTAGTACTTCAGGTGGGTGAGGGATGGCTAGAAAAGAAAGATATGCTAGCTCCTCAGAGGGCACGGGGAGATACAGAAGAATGCTTCACATTCCCGGGACTCAAGGTGGGCTGTGTGGAAAGGGCTGTGTGGTAGCAATGCGAATTGGTATGGAAGAAGAGAGAAGCACCATTCCGTGAGCAGGCTGGGGGAGAAGGGTACCCGCTCAGGTCCCAGGCCCTGGCAGCAGTGTTTGCCCAGGGCCAATTCCCAACAGCAGAGCGGGTAGAGTAACATGAGGAATGCAGAGACGGAGCATACTGAAGGTGGGGGCAGCACTGCAGACTGCAAGAACAGAGGCTATGACAGGGAGGATGGATTTCCATTAAAAGTTGATAGACGGTGACCCAGAATGAGAAGGTGATTTATTTGTTGCTGATGTGGGAGGTGCAGAGTGTGACAATCCCGGACCAAAGGGAAAGGGGAACCTCATTCTTCCGTGGTATCAGTGAGGACTTCATGTCCACTGCAAGAACAGCCACGATGCTGTGAAAGTTTACTTCTGCACTTAATTAGCATTTTTAGAGACAAGGAGAGACTGAGAGTCTTAGAAACGAGAATATTTCTGATAGGAAATTCACATTTTCAACTGATTAAGTATAATTGTGCAACAGTGGGATTTTGCACAAAGGATGTGAATGTACCTGGAGGAGACTAACTTTTAAACCAGAAGGGACAAAGAGATTAATTTCCATTTTCCTGCACTGAAGTGGAAAGGGTCATTCATAATGCATTGCGTCCACTTACAGATGATGGAAAGTAACATTGCCTCATCATTATGTGGAATGAATAAACTTTAAATTGCCAACCATCCACTAAGGAAACAATCACTCCAGGAATGGTCAGAAAGCGATGTGTTTATGACCAACCAAGCAGTCGGATGCAGGCTCCATTTTTAGGCTGAAAGTCCCATACCTAGCATTGAGTCTGGCAAGGTCACTAACTGGCTCTGTGATTTCGGACAGCCTTACCGAATTTCTCTTGGGACCCATTCCCCTGGCCTGAAAGGGAGTTGAACTAGATAAGCAGTAGGATTGTTCTATCTCTGAAAGATTGATTCTCAGGTCTTGGGTGCACGGTGGGAAAACATTTGCTTCATGCCGGTCAAGTACAAATGGGCATTGTTCTTTAAGCCACGGAATTCTTTTGTCTTAGCCAGACTCTCAGAGGCTGGGCTAAGGTGTGCTAGATATCAGTGCAATTACCTGTGGGGTGCTGACGACTCCTACTTTTGCAGCCACATTTTTCAATTAGCTCAGGATTCTGCACATCACCGTGACAGTTGGAACAGTAAAAGAAGGCTCTGGATGATGAGAACAAACCAAGAATGACTTATGTGAGGCTTTGTGCTAAGGAGACACAGTGCTGACTCAGTACACCTCCCATTAGGTTGTATTTGCTTTAGTGCTTTCCCTCCATAAAGTAATAAAAAAAATTACCTCCTGACTTCTCTTGGAGATTCAGCAATAAAGAATCCTAATGTGTTCTTATGCAGCTTCACTCGTGAAGGTGGATTTAGTATCAGACCACTGGAAATGGAAAATAAAAATACAGTCAGTTTGTCCTCTGATTTCTGTGGCAATCCGTGATGTTTCATTCTGTCCTTATCCAGTGTTTCTCTAAGTTGCCAAGTTAATAGGATTCAATTTCCTTTCACTGTCAACACAGTGGAAAGTGGGAATTTGTCTCTATTTAATGCGTTGTTTGATTGCTGCTAAACATGCTGAGGGGAGCCAGGTTAAAACTTGATTTTTACCCAAGCTGCCCTCACAGCTGTGCTGAAGGGAAGTTTCTCCTAGTATTGTATGGTGAACCTAAGATGATTCAGCCAGTGGAAACACACGATGCCTTACTGACTGAGACTATCAAATGTCTAGTGGGCCAAGACCACACAGTGGCCGGTCCTGTGGTCATGTTACTGGTGTTCGTCCTTATGCCATTAAAATGAACGACCTCAAATCAACCAACTGGATTAAAAGGTTCCTTTTACTTACCTGTACAGATTTTTAAAGTATACATTTCCTTTGACTTCACTTTTGAATATTTGCCTTTTTCTTCTTTGGTCCCAGGGATTGAACTCAGATCCTTGCACTTGCGAGGAGGCAGTGGAACCATGGCAGAAGTAAACTAAGTCCCTGGCCCACTACTGTATATTTTCATTGCAAGATTTTTGATGGCAGGAAATGTGGATTATTTCTATTTCTTCATGACTTGAACATTTTGATTTTCTGTTCTCCTATGGTTTGTATATTTAATAGTCTAATAAATTTCCATCTATGATGTGCCTTGATACAGTACCCTTTTATGGCTCTTTTTTTTTCAGCTTTAATTGAGTTTATTGGTACATTTTAGGGATACAGTACAGTTACATTCATTGTTGGGATCTTGTACCTCTACATGACAAGTCTTGATTCTCATTTTTTGCCCTTACCTCTGCCCTCCCTTTTTTGAGCTATCTAAGCTTCTTCTCTGTCAGTATGTCTTGCTTTTATTTTTATTTTTAATTCATACCTCTAGCAGAGTGAGGACTCCCTTGCTTCTTTTTTAGATGAAAACCTTTTCCTCTTTGAAAATTCACATCAGAATGATGGCATATCTTAATTTTGATGAATAATCAAAATTATAATTTCCTGAATAAATTGGATAGTGTAAAAGGGCTTGCACATGTGTGCACACGCACATGCACGCATACACACACACACACACACACACACACACCTCTTAAGCCCTCTGACAAGGTCTGACTGAGGCTTGCTGTCTATGTTCAGTTGATTCTCAATGGAGACAATGGATAGCGTTTTCTAAGCGTATAGTGACTGAGAGTAACTAAAGGTGTGATTGGATTTGACCTTGAAAGGGAAAGACCATGCCTCTTCAAAGAGCACTGGTTGATCTTCGCTAACTAGTAAGCGTATGATTAATGTGACTTACATACCTCCTTATTTTGGGGGGACCTGAGCTCTAGCTGTGAACATTGTATCTAATTGCATTTGAGAGAGGAGGATTATCTAAATTGAAAGTGTTGTTACCTCCATCATGAATTGTGGCCAAGTGTTCAATTTAGAGAACATTTACACTGGAGCACACTCATCACATTATGTGACTAGGGTCAGAATCCACGTCATCTCTCTGCAGGCAAAGTATCATTTCCTATAGCAGCCACTTACGATTATCCAGGGCTTTTGCAAGTCTGAGAAGTTATTCAAGTGTATCAATAAGAAGAGCAAAAAGAGTGGTAAAAGATAATTTTTCCTCCAGTCTTTCTGTACCCTGGCCTGAGGCTTAGCCCCTGAGATACCCAGTGTTCCCTCTACTAGCAGTGGCTGTGGTGACTAGAACCACAGTCCTCAGAATTAGACTGAGTTCAGGCCCTGGCTGTGCTGCATGGGAACTTGGAACATTATTTAACTTTTCAGAGCCTTAGCTTCTTGCTCCATAAAATGGTCTATAATTGTGCTTATCTCCCAGCACTGTTGTGAGAATTTAAGAGTTAATAGAAGTCAAGTGCCTACTGCAATGTGGGTCATGAACCTAAACTCCTGCAAGAAAATGTTGCTATCAGTATCTTTCTAAAATCAAGTTGTAACTACTTTGATTCACCTGACATTTCAGCAAGAGAGGTAACCGTCTGTGAAAGAAGGTCCCTCTTTCATGGGCAGTAGGTGTGTGCCAGATATAAACAGCACCAGGACATCTTTCATCTATGTGGAAATTAGCTGCTTATTAAATATTCATGCTTCTGGTTGTTTCGTATTAACAATGATTTCAATACAGTTTATGGACACCTACAATGTTAGAGTTGGATAGGGTCTTAAGATTGTGTCTACTAATTCCTGAATGCCAGTATTGGCGATGCCACAGAGACTTCAGAAAAAATCATCAGGTCCCACCCTTGGAGACTGTGACTTTGCAAAGTCAGAAATGGGATTTGGAAATCTTGCTCATTAAACTTTCACAGAGTTTTCCATGAATAGTCCATATTCTTGGAGATGTACTAAAATTCATTTAATTTTTAAGCCAGTCGGGAACCCAGATTGCCTGGTTTATGATTCTAAAGCCACCCTTTTTACTATGACCCGTTTCCAGTACAACATGGGACAGGCAGATGTTTAGGGACCTCATTTTGGATTGTGTGATTTTCTTGAGCACGGCAGGATTGTCAAATGAAACTTAGCCACTCAGGCGACTTGTTACCGTGTTATTAGTGACTTTCCTTCTAGAGTAGCCCAGACAACTTCTACAACTTCTACGTCTTTACCCAGATAGGTCTTTTCTACCTGCCAACCTCTCATATAAAATCCTTCCTTCCTATTCCAGCTGAGATCACTGGCTGCTGTTGAAGTTTGAATGCTTTGCTATAATTCTAGGGTTCTTAGAATTAAAGATGAATAAAACTGACCTCTCCATTCTACTTGTGAACAAGTCATCGTGAGAGTGAGAATTTGTTGATTCCAATATAGCTTGAGCTATTTTTCCACTGAACAACATACATCAGCAACACCATAGTTTTTTTCATGCTCCTCGTCCCTTTCAGTCACCAGCTTTTATTATTGCAACTGATTCACATTTTAACTTTTCTCTCATTTATGTTTATGTACATTTTGTTTTTCCTGGTTTCTCTCTCTTTCTCTTTTTGGTATGAGATGAATTTACTTCTCATACTACACACATCAGCATTCCCTGGAAATGACAGTAGCCTAATGATTTCACCTCTTTCCTTCATTTATCAGCAGCAAACTTCATTTAGTAGGCCTCCCAAATTGCTATTTTGTCAGACTTTGCACCTTACTCTCTAAATCTACACAGTGTAGGAATGTCTTCGTCGCTAGTAATTCACAGTGTTGTTTCATGGTCAAGACCTCCAAGGTAATGTCATTAACAGGAAGAGCTCTGTGAAGGTGACCATTGCTTCCTTCTCTGCTCATGAGAGAGAACAGAGTCACAGAAACAATGGCAAAGCATTTACCTCCTCAGCAATCTACCCTAACCCCAGTCATTAGAGATGACACAGAGGAGCCTGTGTGCCGGATAGGCAAGCTTGCAACAGTGTCAAAGCTCTTAGGCATGGCCGTACCCCTAAAAAAGTCTTAATGATAAAGGTTCCCCTTAAAAAATAGAAAAGATGAGAAATAAAACTGGTACCCGGAATGACCATTAAGGAGGAACTTGTGTTCGATGGCTATCAGCATGAGGTGCATCTTCAGGAAGCAGAGCCTGGGGAAGAAGACAAGGAGCCATGAGGAGAGAGGAACAAGCAGGAAATTAGCTCAGGAGAATCTGACTCACGCTCCTGTGCTCCATGTCAGGAAGAAGACCAGCATCTCCACGGAGGAAGTAAGGCTCAATTACAGATTTTCCACTGTGATCAAATCCCCCGCAAATAACTCTTAGACAGGAACACAGGCAAACTGCCCATGTGCATTATGAGCTCTGAAGTTGCAGAGACTCTGGGTAAGATTTGTTACTGGTCTCCACTGTGCCACCTTGGAAAGAAAGCTGTGTGAAGAGTGGGGAAAGAATTTCACTCACCCTACCTGGATACCTCAGGAAAGCTCAGTCCAGCAAAGTCGTTGGACAGACGTTGAGTCAGAATTTTATTCTTCAGGCCATTCAAGAAATGTTTTTGCCAACACTCTTTAGGAGAAACCTAGGAGACAAAATCACCAGTGTGGGAAATGTGAATATGGGACAAGGTTTGCTAAGATGCAAACTGTACCTACTACTTGTTTCCAGTGCATTTAGGTCCCAGGAAGGAGAGTTACCCTAGTGTGTACCTGAAAAAAAAAAAAAAAAGAAACAAAAATTTATAAAGGGCAGAACTGAAACTCAACAATTTTCACCAAGGAATTAAGGGTGAGGTGAGTGCCACAAGTCTCATTTTGTCCTCAGATGGCATCCTAGTGTCCTTGTGGGAAATTTGATTTCTTATGTCTTGTCTGCTCCTAATTTCAGCATGGTAGATGGTTTTTTGAGTCAGTAGCAGTAATGTGAAAGGGATAACGTAGAATCTATGTTGTCTTTCTCCGGGTGTGACTATTTAAGGCTGTGTTTGAAATGTCTCAGCCTTCTACTGATGAACCACATATTACAAAGAAAAAAGTTTCCATCTTCTGTCAGAGTCAGAGACTCCCTTTGTTCAAACGAACTCAACGAACCTTCCCAAACAGTGGCAATGTTCTTGTAAAAATCAAGGATGGCAGTAGGTTTCTAAAGCCACAGGAACGTGGAAGAGGAAGTCCTATGAGCCTCTGACAGACATTTTTCCCCAACTGTAACATATTTCTAATATAAATGTTTCAATTTTTGAAAGAGCATAAAAATGATAACCACGGAGATGGGGAAGCCTTCTTGAGGAAGTTTTGAGAAGATCAAAAAGGGAAACTGGAGGACAACTCTTCCTGAGGAAAAAATTTCTTTTATTTTGTTTTTTGAGACAGGGTCTCACTGTGGAGTTGAGACTGACCTGAAACTCACTGTGTAGCCCAGGCTGGTCTTGAACTCACAGTGATCCTTCTGCCTCAGCCTCCCGAGTGCTGGGATTACAGGTGTGCACCACCACACCCAGCTTCTGAGAAAGTTTTTAAAAGATCAAAAAGAGGACAATGTGGATATTGGGTATAAGACTCTGGGGCTTAAATAATCCAGATATTTTGGATCTAATCTAATTTTAAGTATAAGGTAATGCTCTCAACCTGGGGCCAACTAGAAATTCTATTTAGACTATAATTTCTCACAATTAATTTATGTAATTAAAAACATGGCATTTATTCAAGATTTTCTAGTAAGAGAAGAAAATTTATAAATACTAATTTTACACTTAGAAAAAATATCATATTGTGGAATTGATGACCCCATTTTATACATGGAGATGCTGAAAGAAAGAGAAAGTGGGGGACTGATTTGAGAAAAATTAGATTCAAATCTCTGGAGTCCTGGCCATGAAACCAAAGTCCATAGAATGGTACAGAATCTAAACCAGCAGAATATATATTCCCAATTTAGGATTTCTCAATGTGGGTTTCAGAATTCATTAAAAGAAAAAAAAACTATATACATATATGTACACACATATATACATATTATGTGAGTGAGTGTGGTCTCCATATATTTAGACCATAAATATCTCCTGTACTGTATAAGTCATCATTATCATGAATATTGGCAGGTGCTTATCCCTAAAAAAGATTAACAGTTCAGATTTCGAAATAAAGGATAAACAGAAAAGTAGGTATGATTTGCTTTATATCTCTGCATTCTATATTTCCATGAAGGAGACAGTGTTTTCATATAGAATTTCATTCCATCTGTTTTATCCAGGCATGGGTGTAAAAGCCACAATCATTACAGCAGAATGTTGAAACTCTCTGTCTCTTTCTCTGCAAAACATGCAGGCAAATAAAACAGCCTTACCAGCCATTACTTCAGCTATACACAATGACTGTTAAATGAGTGGAAAGGCACGCTTATCAAGGCCATTGCCTCCTCTTTAATGGTCATGTCTTGTTATTTATATATTATAGTTCCTTACATTTACTGAAGAAATTATGTAAGAATTCTGTTCGTTCCCATCAGCATTTTGCTAGCCAGAACATCTTTCACTTTTCCTTAATGGCATCAAGCAAGGAATAGGAAAAGATGTGAAACTTTCTTTTGAACAAAGTTCTATACCAACAAGAGCATGGGAGGTCCATCGAGTATGTCAAATGGCAATGTGGACTCAGAATAAAATGAAAGGAAAGGTTACTTTCTGAAGGGTGTTTGGGCAAGGAATATTTGGCCCAGCAAAAGGTTGGAACCCCTCTTCAGGGGCATTTCATGGAATGGCTACTTGAGAGGCTACCCTTTGTGCTGGAGAAGTTCATAGAGCATGGTGGTAAGATTGCGGACTGGAGTATTACTGGTGTGTATTCGCTAACTCACTTTACAGTCAAGATAATTAGCTTTGCCAACCCAGTGCTGGGATACATGGAAAATATTACAGAGGTGAAACAACACACATACTATAAATTGATACATGATCACTATTATTCCTACTGCATGGGCTGTCCCTCAAATAGTGTGAAAAAATGGTTTAAATTATTTATATCATTACTTTTATTTGAATAATTATTAATTATGCTAATCGTTTTTAATTTAATTTGCATTTGAATATTTTACATATTCATTAATATAGCCTTTGTTTACATTTTCACTTTCAATAACTAAAATACTTCCGATATTATGAGTATTACTTATACTTATGACATTCTGGAACATAGGTAGGACACAGAGTTATGATTTCTGATTTACAGATAAACACTGCAGGAATAAGACAACTGTCCTTTCAAGGCCAGTGAAGTACATGGAATTTCCATCTAGATCTTTCAATTTTTTCCTAAGTTAAGCAGAGGTCAAGTTTCATTTCTTGGAAATTTCTTTCTTTCCTGAAAAATCTTTGTTTTTTCTATTTCTGATCATAATACATGTGACACTGGGAAAGAGCCAAAATTCAACAACAGTTTACCTTTTGGTTTTGCTCAACAAATAGAGATGTTAGAAAGGTGCACAAGCCTGGAACCAGACAGCCTTGGGCAATAAATCCGAGCTTTAATTCTGCAAAGCAGATGATGTTGTCTCCAGTACTCCAGTCCCAGCTGGGAATCTTTGACAGGAAAACCTGTTCCGTGGTAGAAATGAAATCAAGTGGTAAGACTACACATTCTTCAAAAAAGTTCTTTTGGATGATGTCTATCATTTCATTTACTTGATGTCATTTACTCTTAACTTTTGAGAATAAAAGTCATGCCCAGGTAAGGGCAAGGTTTTTAAACAATTCAGGCTTTTAAAATGGTTAGTGGGTTGCCAGTGTTGTAGAATGAGGTCAAATAACTCAGACCTCTAATTCTGACCCTAAGCTATATCTTTAAGTAATTCACAACCTTACTGAGAACCTTTACTCATGATTGGCAAATCTTTCTAATTTGTAGATCTATTTGAGAGTAGTGAGATTAACCTAGCTCTATAGACCTGGACAGAAGGAGACTAATTATGCTGGAATGTTTCATACCTTGTTATGGGATTGAAGAATCTGTATGATGACTCTAGTCTTAGGGTAATAGTTCTTGATAGAGAGCACCCTGCATAAACCACAAGTGTGCTCATTAGTGGCATGCCGTAGTGTACTTTTTGTATAATTCAATTTAGACAAAATTATGCATGAATAGGTGGAGGGAGAAAATACAGCATATAATCTGTGTTCTCTAAAATGTTCTATGAAAAACATACATGGAAGAGATCCATTGTTTCGGTGAGTAAGCTGGATTAGATCAATTTGGTGAAATGTCAGCTACTGGTCTTAGGTGACAGTGGTCTTCTGGAACCATTTCTTTCTTTCTTTTTTTTTTTTTTGAGACAGGGTCCCACTATGTGGTTGAGACTGACCTGGAACTCACTGTGTAGCCCAGGCTGGTCTCGAACTCACAGCGATCCTCCTGCCTCAGCCTCCCGAGTGTTGGGATTACAGGCGTGCACCACCACGCCTGGCTTGGAACCAGTTCTTGATGAGGAAATAAAAGTTTCACACATTTTAGCCTTCAGATCCAAACATGATAATTATAGAGAAAATGGAGTTTTACTTGCTGCCCTTAGCAAAATATGTGATTTAACCTTCTTATTTTATGAGTTAAGGAATTAAGATTTAGCTCATATTCACAACACTAAAACTGGTGCAAATCCTTAGTTATTTCTTGCTATGTGTACACTCATCTTCAATTATGCATATTTATTTCACTCTGCGGACTGAAAGTTCATGTGGATAGGGACAGTACCGCTGCCACCTGTTCTGATTTAAATCTCAAGGTACCCAACAGTCTATGAGTTTGAATTGTGATGGGATCACAGGATTCTATGCTCATCAGAGTTTCTCCACTGATGACTCAGATCTGACGTGCTGGTGAGAAGTGGGGCCTGATTGGAGGCGGGTCACTCGGGGAATGACCCGAAAGCGGGTATTCTTGACCCTGCTGCCTCTGTTCTTTCTCTCTACTTCCTGGCCGCAGTGGAATGAGCAGCTGTCCTCTACTAGAACTTTCCACCATGTTGCTTCTGCCTTGGAGCCAGCCTGCATTGAACTGCATCCTATGAAAACCATGACCCCAAACTTCTTCTCTTTTACATTGTGGGTATTGGATTGGGTATTTTGTCTCAAGTGTTGGAAAGTGACTAATATACATATTGGTACCAGAGAAGTGGGAGCATTGCTGTGATTTTACTTGACCATGTTGTTCAAGTCTTTGGAACTGTTTTGGGGAAGGAATTTAAAAGGTTTGGAAATGCTGGGTCGAGAAGCTCTAAAATGTGGTAAGCAGAAAAAACAGAGATTGATGAGAGATGCTTGTCAGATTTCATCAGGCTGCATGCTGATAGGAATATAAAGAGTAAAGGCCCAGGCTCAGGAGGTTTCAGTTGGGAACAATGATTCCAAGAGGCCATTTGTGCTACATGCTGACAAAATACTCGTTTTCATGTTGACCATGTCCTGAGAGTTTGTGGAGAACAAAATTAAGGGCAATGGACCAATTTATGTGGAGGTGAAAATTTGAAAGCATCCCAAAGTTCAGGCTTTGGTGGCTACTGCTGAGAAGCATGAACAAAAAGCGTATGTGAAGGCTGGGAATTTAGCTCAGTGGTTCTACTGCCTGCCTCTCAAGTGTGAGGTCCCAAGTTTGATCCCTGGTCAAAAAAAGAGCATACATGAAAAGTTTATAGTTAAACAATAAAGTGCCTGAAAAACTGGGGCTTTGGAAAGCACAGTACTGGAAGAAATTGTGTGCAATAAAAAGAAGAAGCCATGAGCCAGGTGTGGTGGTGCACACCTGTAATCTCAGCACTCAGGAGGCAGAGGCAGCAGGATTGCTGTGAGACTGAGACCATCCTGGCCTACACAGTGAGTTTCAGGTCAGTCTCAAACACATAGTGAGACCACGCCCCCCCCAAAATAATAAATAAATAAAATAAAGGCCACGTGTACTTGCATTAGGACAATAGGAAAAACAACATGAACATATCTTAAGAATGAAAAAGACCTTACCTTTTGCAGATTTAGGATTTAAAATTGAAAAGCTCTCATTTGATAAGTGAGCCTCTGCAACCCCACTCTAGAAGGGCTGCTTAGGAAATTGGTTTCTTGGGATTCATCTGACTGTGCTCAGCCATGCAGGCACTCAAAGGCCACTGCACTGTACAGGCATGGGAGGCAAGGCAGTGCACCCCTGAGAAGGCAGTGCAGAAAGCTGTGAGAGTGAAACTGAAAGTGCAGTGGATAGCACAGGAAGTTAGAAATGCCAGGAATATGGAAACCAGCTCAGGAAAGCCTCAGGCAAGAAGCAGAGCTGGCTCAAGAGAGAAGCCATGTGAGCTGCAAGCAACAGAGCCATAGGGGATGAGTCCCTCAAGCCCTGTGGAGCTCACATCTCACCATCACTGCCCAGGGTGCTGGGTACGGAGCCACAAAATTTAATGTTCGCCCTGCATGGTTTCAGACTTGCTTTGACCCCATTCCTTTCTATCCCCCATTCTATCATTTTTGGAATGGAAATGTTTACCTGGTGGACATTGTATGTTGGAAGTCCTTGATTTTCTTTTTGAGTTTTACAGGGGCTTATAGGGTAAGAGTTAGTCTGAGGTCTCAGAAAAGAGTTTGGACTTGGACTTTTCAGCCATGGTGGAACTGTTAATACTTTGGCAACTCTTAGAGATGGGTTAGATGGGTTTTATATAATGAAGTGGACGTGTGTCTTTGGGGGGCCAGGTGTAGAATGTTTCGATTTAGATCTAAATTGTCCTTCAAAGGTCTCATATGTTTGGAGGTGACTGGATCATGAAGGGTGCTATACTCTTTATTGGAATAGCCTACTGTTGAGTTCACAGCTGCGCTGCCTTGTTGGGATTGGGTCACTGGGGGTGTAGACTGGAAGGCTCCTTGCTTTTGTCTCTGTTTCTTGGTTGTCTCATGGGATGGGAAGCTGTCCTCAGCCAGGTCTATCCATCATGGTATTTATGTGTTACAACCAGCTGACTTTGGACTGAATCCTATAAAACTGTGAGTCAAAATAATGTCTCCTCCTCCAGTTCTGGGTGTTGAGTGTTTTGTCCAAGCCATGGGACAGCTGACTGATCCACTGCCATAATCATGGTTGACCTTCAGTTAATGCAGGGCAAGTTCCTGTTCATAGATAATCTGTAGTTAAAGATGGTTTGACTTTATATTAACTTTGTCCATTTTGGAAATGCTTGCCAGGGGTCCTAGGTACATCATACAAACCATGCATAATATTTCACTAACAGTACAAGATAAAAATCCCAATAAAATGTACTAATAGGGTTCAAAACTGGCATTGTTTTGAGGAAAAGAGGAGCTTAGTTGTATGATGCTAATAGTTATCAATTATTTCTACACTTTCCTTTTAAATTCAGATAGCAACTACCTGTAAAACACTGGGGAAGAACACAGAGAAACACATAAGTGTGTATGATGCTCTAATTTCACTTGTATCCACCTTCATATTAGTGTGTGTGTATGTGTGCAAAAAATAAGCACAAACAGGAAGGTGACACATCTGGTGCTCTGATAGATGACACCTGCTGTCTCGTTCTGTGCACTGGGCTTTGTTTTGGGAGAGGTAGAAAGAGATCAGGACTGGAAAATGCCAAAAGCAGCACCAGCTTCTTACCTCATGATGTTTGAAGTGTCTTCTGCATATGAGTCACTGCACAAAGGGTTGGCTAAAATCAGGCATGCTTCTGCAAACTCCACCTACTCTTCAGGGATTAAACAGCAGCCATCGTGTTAATCACATCAGATAATATTCTAGTGCTCCTCTTGCTGAGTTTTCTTATGATTTTAATAATAAAATTGCCAACAAGGAAGATGACACACATGGGAAGGAGTTGTGATCATGATGTCTTTATATCAGGATCAGAGTCCTGTAGATCCTCCCAGGGTAAGGAGGACTACAGCTGATGGGCCAAGGTCTCCAACATAGGTAGAAGATTGCTTCAAAATGGCTAAAGTACAAAGTGATGTTTTTCTTACCATCCATCACTATTATTTTATGTCTAGTGAAGAGTAGTAGGACCATTTCAGAAACTGCCTGTATATTTATTTTTCTTTCAGGACAGCAAAGAAAGGAGGAGCCAGGAGTTTTCTTGACCCAAAGCAAGTAGTCATTCAATGTATGTTAGATTCTGAATCTTAAGGTTCTAGAAAATTATTGGGCTCTTTGCAATAATACCAAGATGTAAGAGGAAGATTGCACAGGGTCTTCCATTTTCTGTTTGCAGTCATTATATAGATATTTCTTTTGAGTGGGGACATTTTGGCTTATCAATTGTAAAAGACTTAGGACATGAAAGGAAGCTCGCTTTGATCTAAAACCAAAACTGACCAGAAGGTTGGCTACTGCTCACTATTTGTAGCTGAATCCTTAATGAGTTTGCTGCTGTTCTCCTTCATGTTTCCCTTAACTGAAGACATCAGAGGGGTCAGGAGAAGTTGGTAAGAACTGATAGATACTTAAAAATCTGTCTTCTGGTAAGAACCCTATTGGATGGTAAGATCAAATACACTTTTGTTCTCCATAACTTTTCCAAATCTGATAAAGAATGTAGTAAATAAAGAACTCAGTAAAATAAAATAATTTAAGGCAATTGTCCACACACAATAATGGCCACTTGCCTTTTGTTGAAGAGGATTTGGAGGTCAACTACTATAATTTTCTTCTGATCAGCTTTAAAGTTAAGAGAGCTCACTTTCCCCCCAGCTAAAGAATCAGAAATAGTAATACAGCCTATCATTATTTTTTTTTCTTTTTTTGAGACAGGGTCTCACTATGTAGTTGAGACTGATCTGGAACTCACTAGGTAGCCCAGGCTGGTCTTGAACTCATAGCGATCCTCCTGCCTCAGCATCCCGAGTGCTGGGATTACAGGCTTGCGCCACTACGCCCGGCACAGCCTATCATCTTAATGGTTGTAGCTTAGGGAAACTACCAGGAGAAAAGAACTAGATCTTACCGCAACTCGCTTCAGATCCTCCCACTTCAGTGCAGATCCAAAAATAAAAGTTGTATAGGCCAAATTGCATTTAAGTATCGTTTCCAGCTCCAGAGAAGGATGGACCCTAAAATATTGTAGCAAAGATGGGGGAAAGATCACTGGCTTTGGTTTGCAGGTTGTAGAACGTTTTTAGTGCGGTGAACAGATCCACGAATATCCTCTCAGAAAATACCCATCATTCATTATTAATCTATGTGGTTAGGTTACTGGGGCACAGTCAGCCCAGTTCCGGGGATGGGTTTTCACCTCAGGCATAAGCAATCACAGTGATTTGAATGATTGCAAGGAGGGGCGGTGCCAAAGCAGAGGCAGGAATTCAACACGTCACTATAATTAGTATTTCAACACGTCTTTCATTTGCTGATAGGTCAAGCAGGAAAACAGTCAAGTGTTTTGAACATCAAGTAGGATATTAAATTTGCAATCAACACCTAGAAAATGTATTTTTAAGAGCCCAACAATTACTGAAGTGGTATTTGACTCAATCAAAAAAGAACAGCTCAGTACACTGCAAAAGATGATTGGTATGCATATCATGGTCCTCGATCACAATACAATTAAGTTGTTGAAAACCAAAAGATCAAAAATATCAAAAATATTCTTCCTATTCAGAATTATTTCAAAAAAGTGGGCTACTATGATCTTTATGGTCTAAGAAATAATAACAGTTCTTTATAATTATTCTTAGAAATAAGATATACAAACAATATATATATATATAGTTTATAATTATTCTTAGAAATTATATATACATATATATATATATATATATATATACTCCTGGATACAACAACAGGAGTGCTTTAATGAGTATTTATAGATGTGGCCATTAACATTAGAATAAACTCACAAAAGCTCAGTGAGGTCAAAAGTCGGTTCTTTGCAAACAGCCTAACACAATAGGCAAAACTGGTAAAACTGAGGAAGAAAAAAGACACAAATGACACGCGTGGGGTGATCAAAAAATGTGGATGTTTAAAAATGTATGGCAGTCTTCTGTATCTCTCTTATTCGTCCCACCGTTTTCGCCGCCTTCTGAAGCCTCTGCGGCCTTATTTCACGTCTTTATGAGGAGGGATTGAAAGCCCTGCGAACGGGGCTGCCCGGCACCGTGGATGGAAAGGTGGCTCTGTCACCAGGGGCCTCATTCACCTCACCGGATCCAGCGCCCTGCGGCTTTGGCCTCTTCCCCAAAGCCAAAACACGAAGTTCCCATGAAAGGCGAACATTTTGAATGGAAAGTGACAACAATGATGCGTAAGTTTGTGCGAAGTGCAGGGAAGTATTTTAAGGAGAATTAATGGGATGTTTCTCCTGCTATAATAATTTAGAAAAAAAATTTAAAACTTTGTTATATTTGTTGATGACATTTCATGCATTAAATGAAGAAAATATAATGCATATAGGCAAAGTACAACAAAATAATATTTTTACTTTTCATTATAGACATAAGGATGAAAAAGTTGGAAATTATCTGCTTTTATATGGAATAATAAGATTATTTACATTGAAACACCTAATGCTAGCACAGAAAACATTCAACATAATAGAGAAATTTATGTGGCGTCATGTACAAAAGTCAATTGTCTTTTTTATATCAATAGCAAATAATTGAAAATTAATAAGACACTAATTTTCAACTATATCAGTACTTTGTGTAAAATACTTTATGCACCTTCGTTAAATACCTTATGGAAATTATATAAGTAAAATTGATGATCTGGGAAATTATACTACATTGTTAAGAGACAATGCAAGAAAACTCAATTAGTGGATACCCACAATATAGGCAAACTTAGGAAGAATTTGTAGCAAAAAGAAGTCAATTATAAATTAAAGTTTCAACTCTATTCCCATCTCAGTGCTACAGTTTTAGCACAGTACATGGTAAGATTATTATAAAATTAGTATAAAAGATAAAAGGCGAAGGAAAGCTTGTTGAGTATTAAAAAGAAAAAAAATGAAAAAGGAGGGAAGACTTTAGCATATACAAGAATTATGAAGCATTTGTAATAGAAAGTGTATTATTAATGCACTGATAGATAAGTTGGTGAATATGAAGGAGAAAAATGGCCTTATTTATAGTGGGCCTCAGCCCAGTGAGCAGGGAAGGGGTTTTGGAGGAACCGCTGCTGATAAAGCAGTTGTCTGAGAAGCAGGGGTTGAAATTGTATATGTGCACCTTACATATGTAACAAATTCCTGGTGAATTAGTAACCAAAATGAAAAAAAATTTTGCTCTTCAGAGAAATTACATTTAAACAGGGAATAGGGATTTGCACATGTATGACTCATTTATTTCACTTAAGAGTATGACCTCAATAGTTTCTCTGGTATGAAAAACTAAAAGTGTAAATAAGATCCAAATGGTATAATTGACAATGTGAAATAGGAAGAAAAGGGCTAATGGTGTAGGGGAAGTGGGAAGGGTAGGGGAAAGGAAATAAGGACAAGAAAAAATATGAGAAAACAGAAAAATGTGAACAAAGTTTTGTAAATAGGGAAGGGAGGAGGGGGTGAAGGGAAGGCAGGGCCAAGGGGAAAAAATGAGAACCAAGACCTGTCATGTAGAGGTACAAGATCCCAGTGATGAATGTAACTGTACTGTATACCTAAAATGTACGGATAAACTCAATGAGAAAAAAAAATAGGGAATAGGGAAACAAAAATTGAACATTAAAAATTTGCCTATCATACTGTTATAATTTTCAATAGCATAAGAAATCTTACCCTCAGTAAGAAGATAGTTTATAAAGATATTTTAATAAAAAATTCAGTTTGTTTTTCCAATACCCAAATAAGAAAAGTAAATCTGATTTGTCACCGTCTTTTCAAAATTTTTAGAGCAAAGCCAGAGAAAAATCAACATTCTAAAAGTCAAATCTTTACAGTGAGTTGTAAAATACCTTTATTACCGGACACACCATCAACCACAATATTTTGCGGTACTCAGAAATCATCAATCCATTTAAGTAAAATGTTCCCTTTTAAAATATTGTGCACTCATTATATGACACATGATCATGAACATTTTGAAGTGAGAACTTTGCATAGAATTCCATATATAAATTAGTAGGGTTGAGGGCCTCTGCTTTCAAGAACGATAAACTAAGTAACTTCAGCCTCCTGTTTACTGAAGATATACAGAAAGGCTGTTTGAACTATTGAAAAGCTAATAAATCACCCAATATATAACCAATAAATTTCAAAGTGAAGGATAAATCATGCACTCAGAAGTTTTTTTTTTTTTCCTGGAAGTCATTTAGTAACTCAGGAAAAGCAGTGCACAAGCTGACCTACTGGTGATAGCACCATAAAAGTCCAGCACCTGATATACAAAATAAAGGGTACAATAATCGCTCCAAACCATAAACTGAAATAATAAAGGTTTGCAAGTATAGATGAACAGTAAAATTGAATAGATTAACTTTGAATTGAACTATCATTCTGAGTTTGTCACCTTCAGAATGTGAACTCGGACTCAGATTCCTTACTGTATTTCACAGGAGTAAAAGAATGAGCTATCTGGAAGAAGATAGCATCATTCTGGGCTACAAACTGTTTCTAGAAATAAAATTTTGCAACACATGAATCAGGGCACAATGTAAAACAATAAGGCACAAATTAAGACAGTATGTATCATATGCAACAGAATCAGCAAACAATAAAAGGCAAAAACTTGGAATATTGAATTAATAGACACAAACTACATTGTAATTATGCTCACTTTGTTGAACAACATGAAAGGGAAGCGTAAAGATACTAGGAATTATAAAAACTGCAGATTTCCTGAGAAAAATATATAGACTAGAACTAAGCAGTACAATAACTGAAGTTAAAACTCAACAGATGTGCTGGGCATGGTGGCAAAAGCTGGTAATCCCAGCTACTTGGGAGGCTGTGGCAGGAGGATCCCTAATTTGAGGCTAGTGTCTGCAATTTAGCAAGGTTGTGTCTCAATATTTAAAAGTCAAAAATGTCTGGGGCTGCAGCACAATGCTCCCTGAGCTCAGTTCCCAGTACCACTAAAAGTAAATAAAAAACTTAAATGCATGGGTTTATAAGTAGATTAAACACAGATGAAAAGAGAACTGGGCACCGAGATCGTAGGTCAGAATGACTTGTCCAGAATGCAACACAGAGATTTTCTTTTTAAAGAGAAGTACAATGTGAGAGAGAGAGAAAAAAATACACATGGAAGAATAAAACCAAAGGGTTGATGTCCTATAAGACAGAGAATGGTGACATAGCCAGTATTTGATGAAATAGCCTAGGATTTTCCAAAAAAGGTAGAAGACACTGATCCAGAGAGTTGGGGGGAATGTCTGCATTTTAAGTATGATAAATTAATAGAAAGGCAGACCTATGAACATCATAGCAAAAGTGTAGTGTACTTCATACTTGGTAAAACATTTGGTCTTCTCAGAAGAGAGTTTTTGTAAGGAAAATAATAGGCTTCTTAATAACAGAAAAAGTTTAATATCTTCATGATTCTTAAATGACTGTCAATACCCATGAAATTCTCTTGAGGATGAAGAGAGAACAAAGATCATTTACATTAAACAATGATTTGTTATTGGTTGATCTTCATTTAAGGGAAGTGTCATGGTTCGCCCTTTTGGCAAAAAGGACACCAGCTGTAATACAAAGGAAGATCAGAGATGCAATGAGAAAACTAGAAAAATGATTTAAAAGGAGGCATGAAAAGGAGCATAGAACTCTGAGGTGATAAGAATTTTAAACCATGAAATAAATGGAACCACCAGATGAGATATAATCCCAGCACTGCATAAGGCTGAGTCAGGAGGATTATAAACTCAAACCTAGCCCAGACAATTGAGTGACTTAGTGATACACTGTCTCAAATTTAAATAAACAAACAAACAAACAAATAACTGGAAAAGTTCAGTGTGAAGGTCCTGGGCTCAATTCAAATAAATAAAATCACATACATACCTACATATTCTTTATAATGTATTATAATATAATATTTTATAATATATATCTGACAAAGTTCCACGTCACATAGTGTTTTTCATAAATATCGAAAACACTAAAAATTAA